TAAAGCCAATATATACCACAGTTAGAAATCCTAGACCAAATACAACAGAGCGAGTAAATAAAGAGTTGAGCAGATTATTTAGGACGCTTTGTCATACTAACCACAAAGATTGGGCATTAATATTGCCGAAGTTAGAAGAATTGTATAATAATTCTTATCACAATAGTACAGGCTTCACGCCTTGTGAAATTCTTTATGGTGAGTCTAATGAGATGTCTTTTGACAAAGTAATTTCCAAAAGCAAAGAAAAACATAATGTCGAACAAATTAGACAACAAGTGCGTAAAAATTTAAAAGAGGCAAGTCGAATAAGAAACATAAAATTTGATAAGCGAAATAGATTATTAAAATATAATATTGGTGACTTAGTAAAAATTTCAAGATCTAGTAGATCAGACGCTGATAATAAAGTTATGAGTAAGTTCAATTTGGCATATGAAGGGCCTTATGTAATAGCAGCCGTACCATTTGACAATGTATATACCTTAGCAAATCCAGAGACAAACGAAATTAGAGGAATTTTTAATGCTATTCACTTATTAAAATATTTTAAATAATAATTTCTTTTTGTATAAATTAAAATAATTAAATAAATATTGTAACATAAAAGGGTTTTGTGGGTGGCCCATGGAAATAATTGTTTAAGTTAAAGGTCTAAAATTATTAAAGTTATGAGCAAGAGATTTGTTATATGATAGTAGAACGTTATTAATATATAATGAAAAGTTGTAAATATAGATCGTAAGATAATTTTTTAATCATTTTTATTAAATAAATATGGGAGTTGGGTCAGGGCGAATGGCTCAAACACATTTATCCTATGTGGTATCGAACTGACCTCAACAAATATCCAACTGGATTGTATGCACATAAAGTGTGACACTATCGAAATAATGTTTCAAAGATTTAAAGATAAATTAATAAAATAAGAAATCGACAATTGACTGCAAACTTTATTAACAACACGATATACAATAACTTGAATTATGGTGTTATCACATTGTGATAATTGTATTTGAAGGGGTGTTGGTGGCGGCCATTCTCTGGGGCAGGGGGATTTGATAACATATGCCGTATTGTAACAGATTAAAAGAGGAAAGAACAGATATATAAACAATTATTTGAGTGTAGTGTATATGCTCTCAAAATACTAAAATTTTATATTAACGACTCCACTATGTGGATCATTAACATAAAATTTGGGGGTGGATTGTGACGCCTCATAATTATTATTAATAAATAATAATTAAATTCATTATACAGACATTTAAAAATGTCTTAGAAATTATAATTTAAACAATAAAATGCAAATAATAAGCATAGAGTTCAAAAATATCCATTTGGAATATTGAATATTATATATATTAGTAAACGCATAAAATGTCTTTAAAAATCTCTAAATTTATTAAAAACCTGCTTAAAATGTTCAAAATATATCAAATCATATAAATACAAGGCGATTATATTGCAATAACAAAGATAAATAACGTTTGTAATAATAATAGAAAAAATGGATAAAAATTTTCTAAGTTGATGAAGGTGTTCGTGTAATAATTGGAAAATTTCTAAGTTGATGAACGTGTTCTTGTATTGTTCCCTTATATTGGGGCGTTGTCGGAGACACATACCCAAGGTTGTACATATATATGGGGTGGTCGGCTGACCGACTGCTAGTACTAAGGTTGCACAATGACTAGTCCTATATTAGGGACTTAACATAGTAAGGTCTGACGAACCAAAGCATTAATATAGAAGGTCTCTATGATGCATAAGCATTATGATAGCAGAGTTATGACTTGAAGTCCCATATGAATAAGACATACAGTAGTATGGTCTATGAAATAAAGCAAATATGTGGAAGGTCTCAAATATGTAAAAGCATTATATTGAAAGAAATGGGACTTGAAAAGGATTATTATAGTGGCGTGTAGGTTGCTTCGCAGCCTCTGAGACCGAGGTAAACTTGGACTCACTAACCGATGTGTCCTAGACATATCATCTTAGTGCCGGTGGTAAGCGGGTTTGTTGTAGCAATACGACTTGCCCGTGGACATCGCACACCCCTACCGGTTGTGGGCGGCGTCTTAGCGCATAGCGTTATGATACGTCGGCTATCTTTCGGATTAGGGTGAGTGTGTTTGGTAGTACTTTTAAGTGCAGCAAGCATACTCAACTTCATGTCTTAGTGCAATAGCGCTATGATACGTGGAGTTTTGGCTACTGACGTCTTAGTACCGTACTACTATGATACGTTAGTGGTATTTTTAGTTAACAGCATTATCAAATTTTGTTACCAAAGTCGATAGGGATCATGTGGGTGTGTTGTGAGGGGGCGCCATCCGTATGATAGTTGCATTGATGCTTACTGCTACTTGCAGTATTGTGTCTTGTGGTGGATCTGCGGGTGTGCTGCACCTGATTCGATGCATCTTGTGGTTCTGGTCGATGGAGGTATGCGGGTGGTGATGTCTGCTGGGACTGTATGGGGGACCTTGGGATGGTGTAAGCCCAGCGATAGTCGTATTGATGCTTGTTGCATTCTGTAGCATTGCGTCTCTACGATGGTTGTTTGGCGGGTCGCTATTCTCAATGGCGCTCTCTGCGTCTTGGTTTGACTCACAACCTAAGTAGCTTTGCCCAAGTCGGGTCCCTTCATTGCGGGGCTGCAGACTGTCTGCCCTCCATGATGTTTTATATAACAACTTAATAATATATCTCTATAAAGTTCCCACCTTTGAGAGATTGAAGGCAACTTGTTGGTGGGTGAGACAAACATGATCGAAAAATGCATATACTCAACGTCAGTGACACAAACCCTTTCTGATGGCGAATTATTAATATTATCTTATAACTGCCTATTGGCTATATCTGCCATTGTATTGGTTGGTAGAGCATATGTGTTGACCTCATGCGGGTGGTAGCTGGAGGGAGAATCTGAGGAGGCTCTCAAGGCTGCGGCCGAAAGCCGCGCAACGTGGGACCCCATTCCCTTGAGGTGAGCGGTAGACTCATGACACGCTCTGCGGCCAATTGGCCGTGCTGACCATGCAATTGGTGGTGATGCCTTACACTTACATCACGTCTGCAGGTACGGCGGTCTGGCAGGTGGTGGCGCTCACGGAAGGCTTTTTATGGTCAGTGTGCCGATTGTTGCCTAACCCGTGTGACGTACATTTCACTGTGGCTGGATTTGATCGTATTCTGTATGGCGTTTACACGCATTGACATGCGCGACTTCGGTCGATGTTTGTGCTTACGCACTATCAAGGGGCCAAGTCCTCTTTTACTGGTTCGCCAGTTATTTTGCTGTGGACTACGGTCCAGTTCCCAACTTTGCGTACCCTTCGGGGGGAGCGCATTAAAATGGTTGGCGCTCACCGTGCGCGGCGTGTGTGGGGCCGTGTACCTCCTCCACATTTTTTTTTAAAATGTGGGAGAGCGAAGCCCTTGTAACTGGTATTTGATATAAATATTGTGAGCCTTTTCCAAGCGGGAAGGGATTAATTAATAAGGAATTGACTGTTGTGAACCAGATACAAGTGGAATAGGGACAATTTATTGTTCTTAACCTTTTTGAGCTCTGTCTTCGTGAACGGGGTTCTTTAGCTTATAAGACTCTACCAACAGCATTCGATTGCTCTCGTGAATATTCATTCTTCCAAGATACACCTAAAAGAACTAAGTTACTATACAAACACAACGTAAAGAGGGGTCCTAACTAAGACGATCACGCCATAAATTTATTAAACGGCCTATATTTAAACCTTTAGAAAGATCAAGTTATACTGGTCACGTAAATTAGATATATTTATATATCTTACAGATATAGATTCTAAAGAAATACAAGTATAAATGGATATATAGTAGAAGAGAAAAAAGATGGGGGGGGGGGGTTCGTTACAATATCAATGATATGTTGCTAACTGGTAACATTCATTGCTATGCGGATGACAGCACTGGTGATGCTCTATACACCGGCCGGGCCAATATTTCTCGGGAAAACGTCGCCGAGTACCGGAACAAACTTGTGTCTGAAGTCGAGTCTTTGCTGGACAAAGTCTCGGATTGGGGGCGACTAAATCTAGTCCAGTTTAATCCTCAGAAGACACAAGTTTGCGCGTTTACCGCTAAAAAGAACCCCTTTGTCGTATCTCCTCAGTTTCAAGGCACTCCCCTTCTTGCCTCAGCCAGTATCGGTATCCTCGGAGTCGACATATCGAGTGACGTGCAGTTTCGTGGTCACTTGGAAGAGAAGGCCAAATTGGCCTCTAAAAAGCTTGGCGTGCTCAGCAGAGCGGGACAGTATTTCATGCCGGCACACCGCCTGCAACTTTACAAGGCGCAGGTTCGGCCTCACATGGAATACTGTTCCCATCTCTGGGCAGGGGCTCCCCAGTGCCAGCTCCTTCCACTTGACCGCATCCAGCGCAGAGCGGCTCGAATCGTCGACGACCGAGCCCTTTCCGATCGGCTCGATTCATTGGCACTGCGAAGAGATGTTGCATCTCTTTGCATTTTCTTTCGCATCTACCATGGGGAGTGCTCTGAGGAATTGTTCGGATTAATCCCAGCCGCCAAATTTCATGAACGCACATCGCGGCAGAACTCCCGATACCATCCACACCATCTGGATGATTGGCGGTCCACCACTGTGCGATTTAGAAGATGTTTTCTTCCTCGCACGACTTCCTTGTGGAATCGATTACCATCAGCGATTTTTCCGGACCGATATGACTTAGGGGCCTTCAAGAAAAGAGCCTACTCCTTTTTAAAAGGCCGGCAACGCATCTGCAATTCCCCTGGTGTTGCGGTTGTTCATGGGCGGCGGTAGTCACTTACCATCAGGTGAGCCGCATGCTCGTTTGCCCCCTCTCCTATAAAAAAAAAAAAAAAGTACGATGACAAGTGACAAGTTTTACATGTGTAAGATTTAAAACATATGGACGAAAGTGGATGATAATAATTGTGAGAAAAGAAACAGAGAAACACTTAAACCTTACCCATAGGCTCAGGACGATAGCAAGGCGGCACCGGTATGTACGATGGACCACGCATGACCATCAGCAGCGAAGTGGTCAATAACGTCGCCAGAAGAAGAACGATACTCGATACTAGGAGTACCCGCTCCAATTTCGTACGCTGGTGCCATCCTATAAAGGATACGCCCTGGAACAAAAACGGATTCCTTTAAGGTTTTATTTTATACATTCACAATGGAATAAAATGGAGGGAGAGTTTTCGTCATCAGGACTAAATCATTTTCTACTGTAAACTGGCAAAAGCGTTGGTTTTCTTATCCACTCTAAGGAGTTTCATGTCAGTCTCATTAGAAAAAAAGGATTTTATCGCATTAGTTTTTAAATGTCATGAAATTAGTGCTGGAATTGTACATTTTTTTTCTATACTAAATAATATATAATCTATTATAAAATTCCACTTTGATATACGACACATTTTTTATCTGGCATTGCTGAAAAACTGTCTTTATGTTTTATACACTTCTCTTTCTTTGGGCGAATGTTTTGGAATTGAAACCGCGGATTTAGGCTATAAATAAATTTTAGGTATCGTGAGCTAGATCTTTAATGCTGCATTCAACATTAAAACTATAACATCAAGTTTTTTCTTTGATATTGCTGTCTGCGACTACCAGTATGAATGTTTTGGATAGGAGTGCCGTCGTCGTGGCACGAATACTGCATAGACAATGTAAACTACACACATGATGCCAGATCGTGCCCCACCTTGTACAAAAAGGTAGATAAATGTATGTAAAATAATCTTAGGAATATTGGACATCTTTGTAATAAATCATTATTTTGTACAACTTGCGGTAAAATATTAATTTAAAAAAAAAGGAATTCAACGGTTAATATTTTAACATTTCCATTCCATTTCCAGTATTTCAAATAACATCTGCGTTTCTTCATTCGAATTACTGAATACGCACGCTTAAAGTACCTATATAGTTTAATTTAAAATATATAAATCTTTTTCCCTCAATTATACGTCGAAAATAATCATGAATTAAATTAAATCATTACTGAATAACATTCATTGTCTTTCGTGCATTTTGTGTTGCTGAGAGGCTGCCCTGTTTTACCTTGAGATGGGTAGTGTTGCTGTTGGTTTGCATACTTTGGTGTTATCATGTAGTTGGGTCCTTCACGTTACACCGGTGTGGGTTTGTAACGGGCACATGTTACGGTTGGTCGAACTGTATTGCTATATATTGAACTAGCTGTGCGCCGCGGTTTCACCCGCGTCATCACGTGTCGGTGGTGCGAGACATGACCTAGTTCAAGCATTTTATAATTGCAATTAAATATTTTATTTGATAGCAATGGATGGAAAAAATGGCATAATTAATGGAGTACTTTTATCTGTCGGCATATTATGTATGATGTAGAGCGAAGTTTTATCCACTTTTCCTCCCCCTCCCGGTTGAGCGTTCTCCCCCCTCCCCCCACCTCACGTCCCAGAAAGTGTCCCGAAGCGCGGTTTTATCCAGTTTTAAAGAAAACCGTATACGATACATTAAAAGTTTGTAGGCATGAAATAATTCTTGAGCTATCAAACTCTTCTACTTATTAATCAATAAAATTTTCAAAATAGGTACATAAAAAGGTGAAATGAAAGAGTTCAGAAATAAAGATGTAACTAATCATTATCATAAAAGTACTCAATTAATTTTTAATTTATTTTAGCTATAATGATTGAACTAACCTCGCTCTTAGAAGCTTTCTATACTGGCTTCAAGCAGTTCTCACCGGGCGGCTAGGGTTTATGCATCCTTCGCGCGCCCAGCCAAGTATTGAATTATTTTAATTTTACATTATCTCTTTAACTATGCGTCCAAATAACATGGTATAAATAACAAAGTTTATCTTCATAAAATTGTCTTGATGATGAAGTAACTTTCGTTCGTAAGGATAAATAGGCCGTGCCTAATAATAACGCTCATAGATCACTTTTAAATTTTCAATATTTTTTTGTCACAAAATACCTAATAATGGCTTATGTGTAAGAAATAGACATAAGGTATCGGGGACTTTTTTTTAGACGGAGTAAAGATCTATATTTTTCTAGAACATTGTATTTACGTATCCCTAACGATAACACCAGCGTACGCGGATAAATCATTTCGGGAGTGCTTTTTCTTCTGACTTGCTTAACAAAAATCCATATTTAAGGCTAGCTGAGTGATATAGCTTAATGCTAGACAGCCTATACTATTCCATATGAATCTGGCTATAATATACAAAAAGATTTTTTCAAATCGGACTGGTAGTTCCAGAGATTAGCGCGTTTAAACAAACAAAAAAAAAAAACTCTTCCGCTTTATTATATTAAGTATTAGGCCTTGCAAATATTCGAAAATTTATGGTATTCGAATATTCGACTTTTTTCGGGTATTATTCGAATTATTCAAATAATATTCGAATAATTAAAAAAAACAAAAGTTGTTATAATAATCATGTTTTTAATAGCCAATTTCTTACTTAGAGTCTAATTTCTCTCAATCAAAACAAAATCTTAATTAAAAATTAAAGAACTGTTTGGAATTTCACGGAACTAATGCAGTTCTACAAAAAACTATAAAAAGTTGGTGCTTAACAAGACAACCACAACAGTCTTATAAATCGAGATCTGGAATTTGAATTTGAATAAGGAAACTTAGTGCGTCTAGGGAATCATCTTTTAAAGAACGTCTTAAATGGTTGCAAAAATATATTTTGCTGATGAAAACACCCTTTCACACCCTACACTTGTAGGTGGTATACACATGACGAAGTCATACGCTTGGCTCAAATGGACTTGTCTAGGATCCTCTGTCAAATAGCGCCATCTGCATTCGTACTGACATTTCTAACTCTTTTCTATCTGATAAATTTGCTGTAGACATCGAAGGAGTGGCGCAATTAGTTTCATTTATCATTTTTTATAGTTATATAGTTTCTCTTCTTTAAAGGTCATTTCAGATGTTTCCTGGTGTGATTCGTTTTGTTGCTGATGTTGGCGTTGCCGTTGCTGAAGTTGAACTAAGGTTATGTCATCTTCGTCATTATCTGAGTTCTGTCTTTTAGAAAAGTATATCTCGTTAATCTCAGTTATTACTTCTGTAATAATGTTATTGCCTGGTGATGGAAAGGTAGACGAAGGTGGCTCTGCGTAATATTCACTGGGATTGTGGAGATATTTTAATGTGCTGATTAAATTTGGTAGGCGTCTCTGCAATTCCATTCTGCAATTCTATTCTTCATCGCTTCGAGTAGCCTGTCCCTGATAAAACTGTTTGTCTTTTCAAGTTTCGCAACCATAAATTGAAGGGCTGTTTCCGCAGTAAGCAGATTTGCATTTTCTTGGCACAACGCCTCTACTGTTGCCTTTACAATATTTAAAGAAGTGAACAATTCCTGCAGTAAAGCCAGCTCACCTGAACTAAACGTGGTATCGTACTTTAAATCAATTAGAGTCTTCAATATAGGGTCTTTTAATCCCAAAAATCTTGTGATCATATCGGCTAAACTGCTCCACCTAGTTTTACAGTCTAGGATCAAAACCATTATATTCTGTTATTCTTGAAGATAGTTATCGAGAATCTCTTTTCTGGTGGGTGACTTCCTAAAAAATTTAACTCACAAAACTCACTCAAAAAGACTAAAACCTCGATAAAAAACAACAAAAAATTATAACCACGATCCGCCATCCGCACTACCCGCGCGCAATATTCAAATGAACGAACAAAGGCGCCAAACTATCATCACCGCCGCACTATTTCTCGAGTTTTCGATTGCTTCCGAATTTTGACGAACCCTGTCGGGTCGGGCGAAACACTCGCGCGACGCGCCGTAAGGCTGGATTTAGTGCTCGACCGACGGTCAGCACGTACCGTACGCGCTGACGGTACGTCCTGATCGTCGGTCGAGGCCAAGCGTTTAGTGCTTAACTTAGTGCTAAGCTTTGTTAGACTTGTACAATTACGAAGAAAAATGAATTCATTTAACTCTATAATAAATTTAGCCTCCGAAATGTCACGCGTGAACTTTAAAGTTAATACTCGTATTTTGTGTACATCAATATTTACGAGTTTGACTTTCAGAAAATTGGTCGAATATTCGAATATAGCAGATTTAATATTCGAATATTTGGACAAGGTATATTATTCGAATTATTCGAATATTCGAATAGTCGAATGCAAGGCCTAATTAGTATAGATGTATGGTGCAGTGCGCTGTTCTCCAGAATGGTTTCTAAAAGTAAGGATGGTTTGTCAACGAGTTGTGTTCTTTATTTATATAATTTTGAGGATCACTTTTAATAATATATAAATTAAATTTCTCGGACAAACAATTTTGGGATTAATTTACTTTTTGATAATTTTCTTAATAGTTTTTTCTCCCTCCGATTTTCTTATAGTTTTTTACATGAATATGGATGTATGGTAGCAGAATAAGAGCATCCACTACTTTATTACGTGTGGGTGCCATAAGAGATCGCTATGGAAAATGCCAGAAAGATCTCATGGTTTCCGACAGACGGCGGTAAAATCATCCCGCTTACGTTAGACATACACAGACGGATATCAACATCAAATATGCGTGGCGTCTGTTTTATTGCCAAACCACCTGCCAATCGTAGCGATAACGGCCAAAACCTTCCTCCAACAGGAGAGGATCATTAACTTTTAACATCTTTAACATACCTAATGGATTTCTGCAAAGTAACGCCTGATTCTATTAATTGTCAAGTCCAGCAATAGAGATGCAGACTGATGAAAAAGATAAATATTTAAGTCTGCAAAACGCTTACAATGTAATACAGTAAAATTTGCATAATTTGAAATAGCTCGATTATATGTAAGGAGAGCACGTAGTACTAACGTAACGACATGAATAATGTCGTAGAATACTAACTTGCGCATGTTTACTGGGGAACAATAATATCGACCCGTGAGTGTCGTATGAGGCAACAGAGGGAAACCAAAACACAGGCAGCAACATCTTTCTCATAATAACTCAAAATAATAAAAAAAAACTTTAGTTGCCAACTTGTCTGCCAAATGGCAATTATTGCAAAATCCCCCAATGAGGCAATAAATTTTGTCTAATAATCTATTTTTTCTGTTTTTGGGAGTAATTACGAATCGTCTCGCACACAGACTC